GGTCGTGGTCGTGGTCATGGTCGTGGTCGTGGTCGTGGTCGTCGTGGTCGTCGTGGTCGTCGTCGTCGTCGTCGTCGTGGCCGTGGTCGTGGTCGTCGTGGTGGTGGTGGTGGTCGTCATCGTCGTCCTCTTGCTCCTCCTCCTCCTCCTCCTCCTTCGTAATCTTGCATCCGCAACTGCACCTGGGCCGCGGGAGTGGACAGAACGGCGTGGCGGAAATGCGGGGCGCACGGCGGCCACCGTGCCGTCCTGCTCTTTCCCGCGCACCAGGTGCTGCTCCGAACGAAAGATGATGGGATGCGGAGGAGGAGGAGGAGGAGGAGGAGGAGGAGGAGGAGGAGGAGGAGGAGGAGGAGGAGGAGGAGGAGGGAGGAGGAGGAGAAGGAGGAGGAGGAGAGGAGGGGGAGGAGAAGGAGGAGGAGGAGGAGGAGGAGGAGGAGGAGGAGAGGAGGAGGAGGAGGAGGAGGAGGAGGAGGAGGAGGAGGAGGAGGAGGAGGAGGAGGAGGAGGAGGAGTAGGACCAGTGCTAGCCCAAGGGTCATCAACGATTTCGGTATAAACCTTCCCTCCAAGCTCCCTCTTTATAGGCCCCATACGACGGTTATTTTCACTGAGGGAACCGCCTCGTTGGAAGACAACCGTTTGAAGACCCTGAAGCATGCCAAAACATTTTTCGGGGTTTTAAACTCCACGGATCAACCTGACTGTTTCGTTTTGACGGTCCTGAATCGTGCCAAAACGCTATTCTTGGGACTTCAACACCGCGAATGCACGGAACTGTTGCGTCCCCAGAAACCTGAATTTCAAAACATCATTTTTGGTATTGCGATCGTGGGAATCCGTAAGAATTCTTGTAAATGTTTAAAACGAATGTGCGCGGCGCTTTGGCGGGAACCACATTTTTACCTAACAGCTCTTGCTGATAGGTTTCTAGTGGTCTCAAAAGAGAGCATCATGACTCCTCAGGGGGGTCTGGGCGGGACCCGGACAGGCTGCCGCCGAAGCCGAAATCGCTTAGGACATCCTCGCAAAATCGCTCTTGGTGCTCCCAGAACTCCATTCCCGGGCCACATTTTGGATGCCCGGAGCCAACTGTAGGCCACTTCGTGCTCTTCGACTTCCCAGAACTCCATTCCCGGGCCACATTTTGGATGCCCGGAGCCAACTGTAGGCCACTTCGTGCTCTTCGATTTCCCAGAACTCCATTCCCGGGCCACATTTTGGATGCCCGGAGCCAACTGTAGGCCACTTCGTGCTCTTCAAGTTCCCAGAACTCCATTCCTGGGCATGATTTTGAATGCCCGGAGCCAACTGTAGGCCACTTCGTGTTCTTCTAGTTCCCAGAACTCCATTCCTGGGCCACATTTTGAATGCTGAGGCAGGCTGATGCTGAGGCAGGCTGAGGCTGAGGCAGGCTGAGGCTGAGGCTGAGGCCGAGGCTGAAGGCAGACTGAGGCTGAGGCTGAAGCAGGCTGAGGCTGAGGCTGAGGCAGGCTGAGGCTGAGGCTGAGGCAGGCTGATGCTGAGGCAGGCTGAGGCTGAGGCTGAGGCTGATGCAGGCTGAGGCTGAGGCAGGCTGAGGCTGAGGCCGAGGCTGAAGGCAGACTGAGGCTGAGGCTGAAGCAGGCTGAGGCTGAGGCTGCAGGCTGAGGCTGAGGCTGAGGCAGGCTGAGGCTGAGGCTGAGGCAGGCTGAGGCTGAGGCTGTGACTGCGACTGCCGTTGCCGCTGCGACTGTCATCGCGAATGCGACTACGACTGCGAGAACAGCAGAATTCTACAACTGGATTTTCATCTGAATCTTAAGGGGAATGCTTTCAGATATGCTTCTACACATCGCTGTTAGGTTGCTTTGCCGGGATAATGAAAAGTGAAACGCTTGCAATTTTTACCTAACAGCGAAGACTGATAGGTTTCTAATGGTCATGACTCCTCAGGGGGGTCGGGGCGGGACCTGGGGCGGCTGCCGCCGAAGCCGAAATCGCTTGGGACATCCTCGCAAAATCGCTCTTGGCGCTCCCAGAACTCCATTCCCGGGCCACATTTTGAATGCCCGGAGCCAACTGTAGGCCACTTCGTGCTCTTCGACTTCCCAGAACTCCATTCCCGGGCCACATTTTGGATGCCCGGAGCCAACTGTAGGCCACTTCGTGCTCTTCGAGTTCCCAGAACTCCATTCCCGGGCCACATTTTTGATGCCCGGAGCCAACTGTAGGCCACTTCGTGTCTTCGAGTTCCCAGAACTCCATTCCTGGGCATGATTTTGAATGCCCGGAGCCAACTGTAGGCCACTTCGTGTTCTTCGAGTTCCCAGAACTCCATTCCCGGGCCACATTTTGAATGCTGAGGCAGGCTGATGCTGAGGCTGAGGCAGGCTGAGGCTGAGGCAGGCTGAGGCTGAGGCCGAGGCTGAAGGCAGACTGAGGCTGAGGCTGAAGCAGGCTGAGGCTGAGGCTGAGGCAGGCTGAGGCTGAGGCTGAGGCTGAGGCTGAGGCTGCTGAGGCAGGCTGAGGCTGAGGCTGAGGCTGATGCAGGCTGAGGCTGAGGCAGGCTGAGGCTGAGGCCGAGGCTGAAGGCAGACTGAGGCTGAGGCTGAAGCAGGCTGAGGCTGAGGCTGAGGCAGGCTGAGGCTGAGGCAGGCTGAGGCTGAGGCTGAGGCAGGCTGAGGCTGAGGCTGTGACTGTGACTGCCGTTGCCACTGCGACGGTCATCGCGAATGCGACTACGACTGCGAGAACAACAGAATTCTACAACTGGATTCTCATCTGAATCTTAAGGGGAATGCTTCCAGATATGCTCCTACACATCGCTGTTAGGTTGCTTTGCCGGGATAATTTCAACGAATGTGCGCGGCGCTGAGGTGAGAGCCCCATTTTTTAAACGGATTCCCCTCACTCTGTGAAACTCTTGCAATTTTCATAAACGATTGTGCGCGGCGCTAAAGCAAGAGCCACATTTTGAAAACCACCCGCCCTCCATCTGTGAAGCTTTTGTCAATTAGCCTCAGGGTCATAAGTGGTGAGGAAGTCTCAAGCGAAACGCCCGGTCCGCCCTAAAAACTGGCCTCGGGGTGCGACAGGGAGGGAAGTATGTATAGGGAAAAGGAATGGAGGAGCACGGTGATGAGGAGGACGGGGAGGAAGAGGAGGAGTAGCAAAAGCAGAAATATGAACATCAGCAAGGGGAGGATTAGGAAGAGGAGGATGCGGAGGAAGAGGTCCTTCCCTTCCTCGCCCACTCCGTGGAGGTTGGCGTCGCCTTGACCGCGGCGTCGGGAGGCCCAGCGTGAGAATAAAACGCCGCCGCCTCGCTTGTGTTCATAAGCCGCTGGCTGCCTACGTATTTTGGCGGTGCGCAGCTGGGGGGCATGGGCAATGGGAACACCTCACCAAGTAACACCTCTGCCTTGTTAGAAGGCCGCCTCTCATACATCCCCAAGACGATTTTTGTTTTCCTCTTGGGCCTGGAAGAACGCGGTTTCAAGTCAGGCGCGGACACGTGTCAGAAGAACGTTGGCGGATTCAATTAAATTAGCGCGTGTCCACTTGTGGTGTTGATTTATGTTGCGGTGGATCCGGTTTCTGTCTGCGCGGATCCGATTTCGGTTTATCGGGTTCCGCATCCCGTCCAATTTTTTGGGGCGGATCCCATTTCTACCAAATCAGGGAGCCGGCCGAAATCGGGTCCACGGACCCCAGGCCCGCCCGTGTTGGTAATCCTGGCCCGTCTCGCGCCCTCCAATTAACTCTCCGCGCGCGCGGGTACCGCTCAACATGAATGCGTCTCTCCTCCCGGTTGCTGCAAAGAGCTGGTCCAGGCGCCATCGGTTCGGCGGCGCCGATGTTATCTCGCTAACTCCTCATCGCCGTTTTCACCTCAAGAGGAAAATCTGTCGTCCTGCGAAAGTGCATTTCGGCCCTGCGTCTCCTGACCCAACGGACCGCCTCTGCGCTCTCTCGCGCAACGAGGCGACTCCATCGTAGCGCGACCTGGCCGCCCCCCCCTCAAGGAACCGCTGACGGCGCGGCGCGGGGGAATGATGGGATACTGGCCAGTTGAATGCCAAAACGCCCGATGCGTTTCGGCCCTGCGTCTCCTGACCCAGCGGGCGGCCTCTGCGCTCTCTCGCGCGATAAAGAAGCTCCGTCGTCGCGCGTCCTGGTCTCCCCACATTAAGAAACCCCTGGTGGCGCGGCGCGGGGGATTGATGGGGTTGCATCTGGTTTAATGCCAAAGCCCCCATCCGTTTCGGCCTAGTGTCTCCTGACCCAGCGGGCGCGGCCTCTGCGCTCTCTCGCGCGATGAGGCGGCTCCATCGTTGCGCGTCCTGTCCGCCCCCCATCGGAGAACCCCTGGCGGCGCGGCGCGGGGCAATGATGGGATACCAGCCAGTTGAATGCCAAAGCGCCCAATGCGTTTCGGGCCTGCGTTTCCTGACCCGGCGGGCGCGGCCTCTTCGCTCTTTCGCGCGATGAAGCGACTCCATCGTCGCGCGTCCTGGCCGCCCCCCATCGGGGAATCCCTGGCGGCGCGGCGCGGGGGATTGATGGGGCAATAGCCGGTCGAATGCCAAAGCGCCCATCCGTTTCGGCCCTGCGTCTCCTGACCCGGCGGGCGCGGCCTCTGCGCTCTCTCGCGCGATGA